CGAAAATCCGTCAAGCTTTTAGGAACAGTCATCACCCAGGTGAAGTCAGACGCTGTGAACTCTCCTCCTTCTGGATGAGATCTGATGGTTTTCAGAGCATCGTCCTTCAGGAACCTCAGAACTTCTGTAAAAACCTTCTGGGTCGACATCGACTTCTCGTTGGCTGCGTAGATTCCCTCTGACCAGTAGTTCTGTCAACAGGTTTCAGTCTGTTAGTTTGTGTTCATACCAGGCTAGTTTATCAAATCTACTCATGATGAACTGCTGCAGTCTTAAAGTCCGAAAATTTATCAAGCTTAAGTGGTGAAAGTTGGGAAAAGACAGATTCTCTTGGAGATTCAAAAACAACACAAAACTGTGTAAGAAAACCTCATTTATTTATTCTACAATTTTGTTATTGTTGTTTTTTAACAGCAGCTGCCAATAAAAGTGAAAGTTACAACGTTGACATGATTATATGAGTTATTTTACCAAGAAATCAGTCAGAAGCTGTGAAAATGGTTGGATCTGCTTCTCTGACTGCAGTGACGCTCCTGACAGAGGAACAGATTTTCACACAATCGTCTGAATCAGTTAATAAACTTTATTATTCATGAGATAATTTGCATTGACCTTTATGATGGAATATGGGAGAGTAGAGAGCAGAACCTGAGGAGGAACCTTATGGAAACATGGAGGTGCAGCTGTGATTTATAAAGCAGAAATTGCTCTGAAGTGTGGATACAAATGCTTTTATAAATCAAGATTATTTTTTTTGACATGGGACATTTTTGGATTTTGGGCATATGTTCACGTTTCGTATGATTCCTATGGATTTTTTCTTATGACACCTTAGGTATAAGTTCTGCTTTTTCTAAAATGTTGTGCAGAAGTTCAGAAACTATTAAACTAATGGCGTCACCTGGCGCAGTGGCGCCCCCTAGGCAGGTTAAAGACCTCGATATGAACATGAGTCTGAGTCCTCGCTACCTTTGCTGCTCGTCTTTCCCCACTTCCTGTCAGATTAATGTTGAATAAAGATCAGCAGTGGGAAAAAAGACAAAACCTATTAGACTGAAATGAAAGAGATATTAATTAATATCTATATTTATAGAGACCCAGTGGTAAAACCTATTATGTTAAACTTTGTTTTATTTCAATCTATCTATCTATCTATCTATCTATCTATCTATCTATCTATCTATATTTCTGAACTGGGTTTGAACCATCAGGTCTCAGTCTGCAGGTGTAAATATTAGAAAGAACTAAAACTTCACATCTCTGGGATTCTCTCTTTTTCTCCCATCTCTGTTAGAGGCTGGTGGATATTAAAAGTGATGAACTTTCATCTTTTTTCTCTTCCCTGGACTAGTGAGGGGAGTCATTGCTCCTATTCTTTGGTTCATTTCTTGATAAAATAATAATCAAAATGCATTTTGTTCTTGACTGACTCAGTGTTTCACCTGAAGTAAAACTTATTTATTTCCTTAACAACTTGGTGTGAAAAGTGGTGGGCAGAATTCTGACTGAGCAGAGATTGTGATATGTTTATCCTAATCAGTCTGGAAAATGTGTTTTCAAATCTCTGCATGGTCAGTAATCCATCCCCCTTAAAGAGCCCGACGTTTTTGTGCTCCGGTGAAACTGTTTTAATTTTGTAATTTCTAAAAGTAATCTCTAAAAGTAACTAAAAGTAACTAAAAGTAACTAAAAGTAACTAAAAGTACTATTAGTTTAGTTAGTTACTATTAGTTAGTTAGTTAGTTAGTTACTATTAGTTAGTTAGTTACTATTAGTTAGTTTAGTTACTATTACTAAAGTAACTAAAAGTAACTAAAAGTAACTAAAAGTAACTCTAAAATTTAGTAATTCTAAAAGTAACTCTCAGGGAAAGAGTCAGTGTTTTGGGTAATCACTGCAAAAGGTGTACTGTTTGTCTACTTGGTTGACTTTTGGGAGGCTTATAGGAAGTTTCATTTGGTTAAACTTTTCTACTATGTTGAATTTTGGGGATTCCCTTCAATAGGGAGTCCAGGTGTGTCTTTGCTCCTTCTACGCCGTGAAGTTAAGGAAGGAACCCGGCTGGGAAGACGTTCCAGCTGTATAATAAGAATCCGGATTCGATTTGCCCTGACATTTTCCCTGACAGTCCACCATCAAGTCTGCAAATAAAACAGCATTTTGGGCCTGTATATCTTGCATGCACAAACGGAGAGTCCTAACTGAATTCTGGAGATCTGGAAATTTGTGGAACGGTGTGGATGCTTGGCCAGCAAATCCACCTGCATTTTAAACAGGGGATTCTGTTCGGTTCCACAGTTTCCTGCTTGGCCAGTCTACAAACAAAACATGGGTGACAAAAAGTTTTTGGGAAATCTCAGATACAAATTTAGGTCTAAATAGCAAAAAGGGGGAAACAAACTTAATTTTCAGTTTCTGTATAAATGATTTTGCAAATAAATGTGAGGGAATGAGTGTGTATGAGTGATGTTTGTGCACAAACTGTCTGTGGAGCGATTCTGTTTTAGTGAGGTTTCTTCATAATTAAGTTTTCTAATATTTTAAATTTTCATGTCCGAGTCAGAAACCCAGAATCCCCCGGGACTGGATGTCGGAGCTGACAGAGTTTGAAGCTGTGCAGAGTCGAGCCGAGGCTCAGAGAAAAGGTCGGACCTGCTCCAGTCCTGGAGGTTCTGGTGAACAAACTAAGGAATGCTGGGACAGATTTTCCAAACTTGTTACAGAACGAAGCGAATTAGATCATAAACATAAAAGTATAATCAAAAAAATTGTAAAGGTTTTGGTAAAGAAAAGAGTTTAAAGAATTAACTCAGTGTAGATGTAGAATAAGGCAAACTGAACATTGATAAAAAGGTTTTTAAGATCTCAACATCATAGGAAGACAAATTATGAATAACATAAAAATATATGAATGTATTATGAACAACATAAATACATAAATATATGAATGTATTTGAGTAATTAAGTTCATTCATAGAAACAGGAGTGAGAATTTAAATTAGAAATGCCAATAATATCAGCAAGATTATGTTTAAGTTTTAATGTTATGGTGTGTCGACAAAACAGTAAAAAATTGGATTTTGCTTGATTAAATTTTAGTGATTGATGAAACTGTGACAGAGATTCAGACAACAACTGAGACTAACTTCAGTGTTAAAATGTAGTGATCTTTTGGTGCTCTAACTCTGCTGTTAATATGAATTAATATGAACAAATTAAGCTGAAACATATTAGTCTATAAAACACTTCATTTATGTATTAATAAGAATACAAAACAAATATAATGTTTTAACAAGAAAGGACAAAAGGCTTGTGACCAGGTGGGCCGAGCATTTGGTGAAGGATTGATGATTGGTGACAGGAAATGAGGAGTTGATCAGCTGTGAGGTAGAAAGAGTGAAGAATAGACCTGGTCTGATGATGTAACTGATTGTGGGGGTGAGTAGAGGAGAGAGGATGGAGAGGATGGAGAGGATGGAGAGGATGGAGAGGATGGAGAGAATGGAGAGGATGGAGAGGATGGAGAGGATGGAGAGGATGGAGAGGATGGAGATGATGGAGAGAGAGAAAACAGGGAAGCAGAAAATAATTCTAACTCTGAAGAAACATG